ACAGGCAGACACCGACCGCAGCACTGGTCTGCCGCTAAGAGGGTTCTGCGTTATCTTGCTAGTACATCGGGCATGGGGTTAGTGCTAGGAGGACGCAGGCCAGCGGTCCTTACTGGGCACACAGACGCTTCGTGGGCAGACGACGCTGAGACACTCCGGTCTACCCAGGGCTACTGCTTCAGCCTTGGCTCAGGTGCCATCTCGTGGAGAGCTACTCGCTCCTCGTCTGTTGCACAGTCCAGCTGTGAGGCTGAGATCTACGCCGGTGCCATGGCGGCACAGGAGCTCCGCTGGCTGACCTTCTTGCTCACTGACTTAGGTGAGCGGCCTAGCTCTGCCCCGGTCCTGTTCGCTGACAACAGGGCCATGATCCTCCTGTGTCAGGAGCCTCGACTCGAGGGCAGAGCGAAGCACATTCAGCTGCGGTACTTCCTCCTGCGTGAGCTACAGCAGCGACGTCAGGCTCGCGTAGTACACTTGGCCTCAGGTGCCAACACGGCTGATATCTTTACGAAGGCGCTTGCGCCTAAAGATCATCAGCGGCACTGTGTACAGCTTGGTCTAGTTCCTGTAGCCTCTCACTTGCTAGGACCTTGACTTTGTACTGTCCTTTATATGTATACTCAGACTGGACTTGTGTCCTCTCCCAGTGGCTGGACTAGTAGTGCCGCCCTGCTCTTGTGCTTGCCTTGTCTGTACTCCTTCTGACCGGTCGCTCAGACCCTTGCCTCAGAGGTTGGACTAGTAGTGCCGCCCTGAGCTGCTTGTTTAGGGTATTCCCCTATGCAGTCTAGGGGGTGTGTCAAACATGTGTATTTGTCATGTTTGTATAGACTGTATAGAGTCACCTCTTAGAGGTTACAAAACTTAGATATATTTGTGTGTACTCTCACTTTACATTCATTCAATTATTCTGATACAAATACCCTTTGTTAGCACATGGGCTTATAAATTATATTTTCTAACAATCGCCCGTGACTTTCCCTATAATCCCTATAACCAAATACGCGCCAATATTCGGGTGATAACGTCACCCCCTGCAAGAGTTTATCCGTGCTGTGAAAGGAAGGGCGGAGGGGAAATGGGATGAGTATGGAAGCAAGGGATGACGGGGAGATGGGCAGAGAGAGAGAGAGACGAGGACAAGAGATTTTGTGAGCACGAGTGCAGGGGGGAGGGGAGCAAGGTGCGGTACTCAGGTTCTGAGTGGAAGGGGGTTGGGGATTAGGGGGGGTAGGTGGAAGAAGGGTAGCGGAAGCGCACCCAAAGGTCATGTCCCCTGGGCAGCCTTGCCCACCCTGAAACCACCAAAATGGGGATGAGAAGGGAATCACGGACAGGAAAGGGAGGAAATGGAGGGAATAAGAGGGAGGAACAAAGAAGAGGGGGTGAGAACTGGAGCAGGGATGAGGAACAAAAGCAGGGGAGATTGGGAGGGGGAGAAATGAAAGCAGGGGGAGAATGGGAGGGGGAGCAATGAAAGCAGGGGGGGAATGGGAGGGGGAGTATTGAGAGCAGGGGGAGCATGGGAGGGGGAGAAATGAAAGTAGGGGGGGAATGGGAGGGGAAGCAACGAAGCAGGGGAAGAGTGGGAGGGGGAGCAATGAAGGCAGGGGGAGAATGGGAGGGGGAGCAATGAAGCAGGGAGGGAATGGGAGGAGGAGAAATGAGAGCAGGGGGAGAATGGGAGGGGGAGTATTGAGAGCAGGGGGAGAATGGGAGGGGGAGCAATGAAAGCAGGGGGAGCATGGGAGGGGGAGCAATGAAAGCAGGGGGAGAATGGGAGGGGGAGTATTGAGAGCAGGGGGGAGTGGGAGGGGGAGCAATGAAAGCAGGGGGGGAATGGTAGGGGGAGTATTGAGAGCAGGGGGAGAATGGGAGGGGGAGCAATGAAAGCAGGGAGGGAATGGGAGGGGGAGCAATGAGAGCAGGGGGAGAATGGGAGGGGGAGTATTGAGAGCAGGGGGAGAATGGGAGGGGGAGCAATGAAAGCAGGGGGGGAATGGGAGGGGGGCAATGAAGCAGGGGGAGAGTGGGAGGGGGAGCAATGAAAGCAGGGGGAGAATGGGAGGGGGAGTATTGAGAGCAGGGGGAGAATGGGAGGGGGAGCAATGGAAGCAGGGGGGGAATGGGAGGGGGAGCAATGAAAGCAGGGGGAGAATGGGAGGTGGAGCAATGAAAGCAGGGGGAGAATGGGAGGGGGAGTAATGAAGCAGGGGGGGGGGGAAATGGGGATAGGGGGGGAAGGAGAAGCGGGAGATGATGGGAGCAGGGGGGAGCAACCAAAGCTGGGGGGGGGGTTGGATGGGTGTAGGGGGCAGACGGGCAGTCAAAGGTTTGGGAAGAAGAGAGTGGGAAAGGGAGAGGAGGAGAGGGGGACAGGGAGAGGAAGAGAGGGGGAGACACTGGGATTGAGGGCAATGAGAGGGCATGGAAGGGTGCAAACTTCGCCCTCACTCTCTCTGCCCTTTTCGAGTTGAAGGCTGCCAGCTCCTGTGGGGAAGGAGGGTGGTTGGTTGAGGGAGGGCGATGAGAACGAGGGAAAGGCATGGGTGCTGGGGGCGAGCACGAGTGCAGGGGAAAAGGTCCTCTCTCTTTCCCTCTCGCGTCCTCTCTCTTTTCTCTCCCTTTCCCCCTCGCCTCCTCTCTCTATTCCCCTCTCGTCCTCTCCCCACCTCCCTTTCGTCTTGTCTCCATCCCCCTCCCGTCCTCTCCTCATCCCCCTCTCTTCCTCTCCCCGTCTCCCTCTCATCTTTCTAGGCGACTATTGCCTCCGGCGCAGCGAAAAGTATTTGGAAATACTCTTGCAAATATCCTCAAGGGCCTTGCCTCCAAAAGTGATCTCAAAGTAGCTGCTAATCGTCAATACGAAATGACAGCAATTTCCACTAGAAACAATGATATACAAAGCACAAATTTTCAAACAGATTTATAGTGGAAGTACAAGCGATTTCGCACTTCGTAACTGCCGTGTGCACTGCGAGTAACTTGCGTGCCTCGTGTCAAGCCGAGTCGCACACGCAACCGCGACTTTCTTGCTGAACACGCCGCTGGTCCGAAGTCCGAATGCTTGTTGAACACGCCCCGTCCGAAACCCAGCTTTTGCCCCACGTCACCTTGTTTCTCGCCACTTCCTTTCCTTTCGTCCACCCAATCACTGTTTCCTCCAACCTTCTCTTTTGCTTCTCTCTCGCTTCCCCTTTTTTCCGTTAGTCACACGCTCACGCAATCTCCTCCTTTCCTAACTCCTTCGCCTCCCTAGTCCGCGCTTCTCCATCCGTCGCCCCAAGTCACGAGTAGTCCGTCGTGGGTGGCCGAACCACTCCAACAGTCTTATCTCCATCCCCCTCCCGTCCTCTCCCCATCCCCTCTCGTTATCTCCTCATCCCCCTCTCGTCCTCTCCCCATCTCCCTGTCGTTTTATCCCCAAAACCCTCACGTCCTCTCCCCATTCCCCTCCCGTCCCCTCCTCATCCCCCTCACATCCTCTCCACATCCTCCTTCTTGTTCTCTCACCATCCCCCCCCCCCGTCCTCTCCCCATCCCCCTCTCGTCCTCTCACCATCCCCCTCCCGTCCTCTAACCATCCCCCTCCCGTCTTTTCTCCATCCTTTTCCCATCCTCTCCCCATCACCCTCCCGTCCTCTCCCCATCCCCCTCTTGACGTCTCCCCATCCCCCCGTCGTTCTCTCCTCATCCCCCTCCTGTCCTCCCCCCATCCCCCTCCCGTCCTCTCCTCATCCCCATCTTGCCTCTATCCCCATCCCCCACACATAACCTGTATTTAAGCGGTCCGAGGGTCGACGCTCGGCACGGCAGTCGGCGGTCGGTTACTGGCAGGAGGCGTGGGGGATGGCACTCCCAGACGTGGCGGCGATGGACTGGCGGGCATGTGCTAAGAGGTGCCGCGTTGGATCGGCCACCGTTTTGTAACGTGCTAGCGCGAGGCATATGGCCTGCGTGAAGGCTTGGCTGAGTTAAAGCGCGCGTCGCGACCTAATGGTGGGATTGCGACGCTGTGCGAATGCCGTCGGGATTTGGTGCGGGGTTTGAGTTTTCTTTGCTGTTCTGGTATCGCTAAATAGGGTGGCTTGCGCGTGGAGTGCGCCGGGAGCATCATGAGAGTGCACGAAATGTCGCACGCCAAACCCTATTCTGGCGACGCTCTATGGCCTTCAGGCAGCTACGCCTACTTGCCCGTGATTACTAGTCCCGAAACTGCTGATAGACTTAAAACTTGAGTTGGGGGGGGGAGGTGGGCGAGGATTTGGTGGGTGGTTTGTCGCAGAGGTTGGCGGGTGTGTGGGCTGTTGCACCAATCAGAAAGCTTGAGACGGATTTTGCAGTGTCGCCCGTCAAAACGGGTTACCATGTCAACTTTGGTTGGGGCTCAAAAACTTAGGACTTGACTTTAGGGGGTTTTGGGATCCGCGCTTTAAGGCAACCACTTCAAACGTCACTATGTCTGATTTACAGTGATGGCTGCTATTACACATCCACACCCAAGAAAAGCATGCGACAAGCACTTACGCAGTTGTGGTAATGAGTGTACTATGAAAAGCCTTGTCCACATGAAAGCAAAACGCATTGCAATGTGTGTGATGTAGTGGTATTTGCATGCAGTATCTGGTCTGGGTGTATCTCGGTGCTGCTGGGTACAACAGGGTGTAGCTCTGTGTAGGCACTAGATAGTCAAGGTGCAGTCAATGGGTACTCATGGGTTGGTCAGGGTGGATTTGAAGCAAGGGGCTGGCGAAGGCGAACAGGGAGCCCTCAAGGGGCTCAGCATGGGGTGGATTTGCATATGGCACTGCAGTCATGGCTGCTGCTGCTGCGTCTGCTGCTGCCGCCCACACCTGCTGCTTTTGCCTGGTGGTGGGGGGGGGGAGAGGGGGGAAAGGGAAGATGGCAATGGACAGAGGACCATTGAGAGAAAATAAAATACTGAAATGACAGGAGAGAACACCACTGGGTGTTTCATAGTGGCTGCTGCCGCCCACACCCGCTGCTCATGCCTGATAAGGCAGGATGGCAATGGATAGAGCCCGGCGTGAGAGAAGGAACAGGCGAAGTCACAGAGACTTGGACAGGATAAGGATAGAACCACTAGAGTAACAGAGGCTGTGAAACGAGTTGTCTTCAAGGTTTGCTTCCTGCAATTCTCCCCTCTTACCCCAATCCCATTCCCTTTCAAACCTATCCTTTCCTCCCCACTCACCTATCACAGCGCACAATACCAACGAAATCAGTCCCACTGAGCTCGCATGAAGCGACATCCGAGCGGCTGCTCCACTCAGCGAGGCAAACAGTGTGAGCAGATAACTCAACAATTACTGCACCTCTCACCTCTTATGACGTTTCTCACCTTTTGCTGCAGCGCACAACAGCACGGACCCAGACCCACTGAGTTCGCATGAGAGCACCAGCTGTGAGACCAGCACCGCTGCTGCTCCCCCGAGCCAAAGAAGGCCAGAAGGGATCCGTTAGCAGCTGCTCAATCACCCACTTCTGCAACCCCCTCAGCCCCCCTCTGCTACTCACTCCCCTGCCCCCTCTGCTACTCACTCCCCTGCCCCCTCTGCTACCTTCCTTGCTTTCCTGCCTTTTTCTTGAATAACCCTGTCCCCTGCTGCTGCTGCTGTCGGCGGTTCAGAGTAGCAGATCTGAGATGAGTTTTTGAAACCAAACAAGTGGAGGGAAGAAATTGGGCAAGGAATCAGCAACACAGCAGCAAGGCAGGGAACGATACGTGAAGGCAATGCAGCACACGAAAAGTAATCAAAGCCAGAGCACATGGAACCCTATTAGTTATAGACAGGAAAAGAAACATCAGCAGTAGATCAAGCGTTGCATGTTGCCCTCATCTAGTTGGTGTAAACAAACACGTGTCCCTGCTGCATATGCCTCGGCCAAAGCAGCATGCCTCTTTGCTGCTCATGCCCTCGACCTCCTGTGTTCCAACGTCAACACTGCGTGCTCCCCCCCCCCCCCCCCCCCCCCTGCAAAGCGCTCGCACGCGCCTCACTTCAGAGTACTCTCACGCACCTCGCTACAGAGTATGCCTCACGATGGCGTTGCCTAATCCCGAGACCCTCTCAGGCACACATATAATCGAGCCAGTCCGCCTCGCAGCTGTAATCCACCACTTTCCGCTGAGCTGTAGGTTCACGCCTGAGTTGAGAGCTCAGGGCGGGCCAAAGGCTTTTCTCTTCTGAAGCGCGGTGTACGGGGCTCCAAGCACACAATGTATGGATGACCTCTCTGGGATACCAGTGCACTCGCATGGCAACACACACGTAGCTGTGCCGTATGCTCTGCTGTACCTCACTAGAGAGTCATCAAGAGCGAGTCCTATAAAGTTGGAGCCCAAGGACTAGCGCTGACTGCTGAACCTTACTGACCGCATCTCGCATGGTTGAATGAAGCAAAACATAGCGAAACGAAATGTGGGCTGATGTGGAGTGCTGGGCTGATGAGGAGTGCTGGACTGATGCGGAGTGCTGGGCTGATGTGATGTGGATGCATGTGGCATACCGGCATGTGCTGTGCGTGTGTGTGACACGTACAAAGTACCTGACACCCTTTTGATCTGCAGATAGGTTCCTCTTGAAGTCACTCACCCCCACCGCATGCCACACCTCGGGGCATACCCCAAAGGGGCCCCTTGTTATCGCTGCTGAATCCTGGTATCCATGGCTTTCCCTTCCTTTTCCGTCCCCCACCACCCCCCCCCCCACCCCTACCGGTCTCTTTCAGTCTGTAACCCTCACTCTCGTACGTACCATCGTTGTGCGATGCCTCGTTTTTAGTCGATAATGCATTCTGATAGCTGATGGAGGAGCTCAAGTTTGTCAAATGAAGGGAGGAAGAGGGGGTGGGAGGGGGAAGGAGAGATGGGGAGGAGACAAGCGAGTGAGAGACGGAAGGGAGGAATAAGGAAGCTACAAGGGAAATGCCTTACTTTCTATGATATACTCACGAACAATACCCTTCAACCTTCCCTCGCTATACTCACGTGCACGTGCTGTCCACGTGCCTTCCACCTCCACCACCAGTTTCGACACGAGCTTCTCGCCAAGCTGCGGCCCGAAGCGACGCGGATGTCGGATGGCTGCTAGTGCTGCCCACACCTGCTGCTCGTGACTGGTGGTGCAGGGATGGAAATCGAGAGAGGCTCAAGGCAGATATGAAACGGGAGAAGGCGCAAATACAGGGGAAGGCACTAGCACAAGGGCAGAATAGAACCAATGTTGTTTGGTGCCTGATGAAAATAATAAGGAGACGAACCAGCACAGTAGCAGCAAAAGATGGGCCCATTGAAGACAAGATTAGACCAAGAGTGGCAGAGCCTTCGAAACTGAAGCTGTTGTCACCGTTCTCTTTCTGCAACCCACCCCTCCTGCCTTACAACTCTTCCCTCCCACCATGCTGCCCACTTTGCTGCCGCCCCTGCTGTCTTGAAATCTGCTGAAACAATCCCCCCCCCCCTTATTGCTGCAGCTGCAGCAGCTGCTGCTGATGGTGGTGGTTCAGAGTAGCAGATCTTAGACAGGTTTCCCAAAGGAAGGAAGAATATCTGGAAATAGGGGGACAAGGCGACACGTCAGCAAGACAGGGAAGGGTAATGAATGGCGCAGTAGCAGACACAAAGAGATAGAGGCATCTGCGAACGGCACAGTAGCAGACACAAAGAGATAGAGGCATATGCGAACGGCACAGTAGCAGACGCAAAGAGATAGAGGCATCTGCGGACGGCACAGTAGCAGACACAAAGAGATAGAGGCATCTGCGAACGTTCAAAGCTCAGGAAAGTGAGGCTGAAGATGCATGGAACCTTCTCTGATACAGACTATGAGATAACGATAACCGCAGTCCATATATTTACCAGCCCACATTCGGCCTCACCAAGTTGTAGCATGTATGCCTGATCTTGTCGGCTTTCACAACCCACATTTCCTACCGCCTCATTACTGCGTTCTCTAAAACGCTCAAAGAACATCTGATGAACGTCCTCTGGTTGAAACCGATCAATTCCTCACCGTTCCCAGAAACGCTCAGAGCCCAACGTTCAGGGCACAGCGCGCAGAGCACAGCTCTCTGAGCACAACCCTAAGAGCACATCTTGGCCAGCATGGGAGATGCAATCCTGCTAACTCCCATCTGCTGGATTAAGGTGAGTTAACGGCTCACACCACCCTCCTGTGATTGAGGGTTTAGGGTGGCCACTCGCCCCCCCCCTGCTAACCTACAGGTGGGCGCTCTACATTCCCTGTACTCACTCTGCAAAGTGGTGCCGAATGCCGTCTCTCTCTCACAGCAAACCGCATGACGCCATGGTGTGGTGGTAGGCTGTACGTCCTCTTCCGCACCATTGCATGTTGCACCGTCTGAGTGTATTTTGAATCGGCTAAAAATACACGTCGCAAAGCGCATGAAGCCGAGCTGCGGTGGTAAGCCGTACATCCTCTCATGCACCGCTCCTTGTTGCACCCTCAGGGCGTGGAACATACAGTTCCGAACAGCCTTCGTCCGAACTTCCACCACACTGTACCACGCGGTTATCCAACTGCTATACATCAAAACCGTTTTGAAAATCACTCTACCACTCTGGCCGTCCGAACTTTCAGAAGTTCAGAACTGTATGTTCCACGCCCTCACTGTCGGCTTCACAACCCCTCCACCTCATCTTCCTCCTTTTTCTCTTCCCTCCATCCCTTCCTCCTCTCCTCCCCACTTCCCCCCCCCCCGCCTCTCTGCGTCGCCTGCCTCCCTTCTCCTTCCCAATCTACCCTTCCTCCTACCCTTGACGTTAGTATCCTCCGTTCGCCCCTCCTCCTGCAGCCTTCCTTTCCGCACCTTCCTTCTTCCCCAATTTCTCGTTACCTTCCCTACCTACCCTCCTCCAATTGTCACCGCTGCCAATCTCCATTCGCCCTTCCTCCCGCCACTGTCCTTTCCCCAACTTCCGGCTTTCCCAGTCTCACTTTCCCTTCCCTGTCTACCCTTCTTCCTACCCTCGCCGCTGCCAACCTCCAGTCGCCCCTCTTCCGGCAGGCATCCTTTCCGCCGCCCTTGTTCGCCGGGCCTAGAGCCAGCCGTCCTGCTATTGCTGATGCGGGCTTGCAGCATAACCAATGTACCTTCATAATGCATGGACGATGGTAGATTTCGGGGGTGTGAGGAGCGATACGTTTTTTAGCCGATGACAGCGGGCCAGCTCCACGCCATGCCTCGTCGAAGACGCATGCCATCCTTGAAAGTGATGCGAGAAGTTTGTATCACAATGAGCTACACTGATCGGCGTGTGGTTTTGCGGAACCAGGCAAGTCCAACTAGTCGGTATCGTACAAGCACGCAGATTTCCCAGAAGTTATGTCGACTAGAAAGCCGACCTGACTTCTCTTGGGAGGGCGTTATCTCCTGCACAAATAGGTGAAAAACCTCAGCGGGAAGAAATCCCAGTGGAGATAACTCCACTGCACTTCTGAAATAGCAGCGGTTTTGTCGCCAAGATCATGTGACCCCCGTTGCACCCGATTTGAGCAGCGAAACGGGTTACAGCAAATCCAGCAGGAAACATCCGATCGTCGGCGTATGACGAAACGAACGAGTTGCATCGCGACGTTTTTCGTTAGTGACGAAATACCTCCTTTGCTGCTCGGATAACAGCTTCGCGAATAGCCATTCTTGAGGAGGCAGAGCCTGTCCTTGCTCCCCATCTCTGGAAGTCGCGGCACCAATTAGTTTGCTCTAAAAATGCTCTTACAACAGCAGAAACCGCTCTACACCTTCTCGCGACGTCCCACGGAGTCGAAGAGTGACATTTCTTGTTCTAGACCACCTGGATCAGCGCAGCTCAGGGCAAATCCCAGTAGCAGAAAGCCCTCTCACAACGGATAGAGCACATGGAGGAGATACAACAGACAGCAAGCCACAACTCAACAGATCTGAAACCGGAAGCTGAAGCGGGCTACAAAAAAACCACTTTGTCACGCCACTTTCATCGCGCAAGATTTGCTGTTCTGATACTAGCAATCATCTGTCTCTTGCCAGCATTCTTTCAGACTTCATAGATGGCGTCGCCCACATGCCAACGATTTATCTGAGATCTCCTCGTTAAGATTCTCTGGCACTCCGACAATCAATCTTCCCCCCCCTCCGGCTGTGGCCTCTCGTGGACCTCTTCCTGGCCTAGGCCGGTATGCATCTGCGCTAATCCCCAAGAATTATTTCGTCTAGAGGAGAAATTGTTCCATCAAGACAATGACAAACGCTGACACCGCTTCCCAGCTTCAGCTGACACCGCTTACACCCTTCTTGTCAAGTCCGTCTGCCGTCGATGGCGTCGCCTCGCTCGTTTTCACGTCGCCACGCTGCTCGTCCGAGAAAATCATGTGGTCTCCCTCCAGGACCTTTCAAACGCCATTGCGTGCTTCCCGAGACGGTCGCATCTGCATCTATGCACTCGCAGTGTGGAAACCGTTAACAACGCCTTCCTTGCTCACCTCGCGGAATCGTGTCGTGAGCTGAAAACACTCCACGTGTCAAGGAGGATCACGCCAGCTGCGTCGGAACTCAATGGCAGGGAAGACAGGGAGTTTGAGTTGCTTCACCCAGTGACCAGGGCTGGCGTCGACCTCTTCCTCCGTTGCTGCACTCAGCTGGAGCAGCTGACGCTCCACTGCTTTCACGAATTCGACCATCTACTGGCTTCCTTCTTCCAGCTCGCAAATCTCCGCGCTCTCTTCCTCACCGACGCCTCAGTCTTAAAAGATCCAAGACTCGCGTATCGCTCTTCTCTATCTACCATCTCCATTCAAACCGATTCCGTAGATGACGAGCACCTGCTGGGTCTCACTCATCTCAGCAGCCTGACGAGCCTATCCTTCTGTGAGGATACCGACATTCTTTTAGAAGTCTATCTCCAGCCTTCTCGTTTGCTCAGCTGTCATTTCTCCTGTCACTGGAATTCGAAGAACACGGTCCCGAGTTCAACCTGGCCTTTCCTTCAGGATCAACGTGTAGTGGCTTGAAGCCCTTGCTGCTCGTGAATTGCCTTGGAGAACATTGTTTTCCCGACGACATTGGATACTTGCTGCCGTGCCTTGAGGAGCTGAGCCTCACGGGCTGCACCGCGCTTTGGAATGATCTGCCCGACGATTTCACTTTCCCAAGCTCTCTGCGAAGCCTGAAGATCTCCTCGTGCTATTTCCTCAGCCTGCCCAAAAACTTCGGGCAGCTGCCCGCCTTGAAAACATTGGTGCTGGAGGAGCTGCCTCTCTCGGGCCAACCTGATTCCTTCAGCCAGCTCTCGTCCCAGGAGACCCTCTGCCTGGTCGACTGCAAGGAGATCCACCAACTGCCTGCAGGATGTGCCTCCCTCTCAGCGCTCAAGTCGCTGTGCCTCCAGATGCTGACACACCTGGAGCTCCCAGAGGACTTTAGAAGGCTGAAAAACCTGCAGTCCCTCATCCTGGTGTATAACCACGCACAGCAGCTGCTGCCATCCTTGTTCACCCAGTTATCTTCCCTGACTCAGCTTGAGCTGGACCAGTGCGTGATATCCGAGCTTCCAGAGGGCATCAGTCTGCTGCAGCAGCTGCAAGGGCTCTTCATCCACTCCTGCACCACCATGAGGGAACTGCCGGAGTCCACTGATCTAAGGAGGCTTGAAGTCTTGAGGGTTGCCAAATGTTACACCCTCACTTGGATGCCTGAGAGTTTAGAGGGCCTTAGTAGACTCAAGGAGTTGGAGATCAGTGGATGTGCGCTGGTGGTAGAATCTCCCATTGATCTGCCAGGTTTGCTTTAGCATGCATCCCTGGACATCTACCATCAGAGCAACACTCTTCCGATTGTCCTTATGCTGCCAAAGCTCAGGAAATTGTCGTTGAGAATGGGTGCTGTCACTCATGAGCTGGGGGGCATCATCAGCAGCGCATCCCATCTGACATGCTTGGAGCTGAGCTTGGCAGATGACCTGCAGGAGTTTCCTTTTCCATTGGTAACCCTTGCTCGCCTCCATGCCTTTACAATCTGGAAAGGGGGAAGGGGGAAGCGAATTCCTGAGGATCTTGGCTCAACGCTGCAGCAACTGCAACGGCTGCACATCCAGTGGGCTGAAGAACTGGCGGAGTTGCCAGGGACTGCCACCATGCATCCGCGCTTGATAAGTCTGGAGATCCATGCTCCCAAACTGGCTTTCCTGCCTTACGGCATCGGCGCTTTGTCCCAATTGCACATGCTGGATCTGTCCAGGTGTTCAAGGTGTTCACTGGTTCCCACTCCCCCAATAGCCCCTTGTGACAGGATCGAATGTGTCGAGGAAAAGTTGCACTATCGATTGATACAAGGCGCTTTTATACTTCCGAGGTACATCAGGTAACCAGGTTTATCATATCCAAAGGGAATAGACCCTTCTAGAAATAGAATCACCATGCGTATAACCACGCGAGGCTATTGGCTATTAAGGGATTACGGCAGGATTATGCTAGATGTAGCGCGCTAGTACATCCAGAGCCTAGTCGGTGATAAAATTATAATAATCAGATAACCCAAAGGATGATGAGAAAGGAGGAATAGGAAACCAAATGGGATGTGATAAAGATCCAAGGAATCAGGATAAAAAGAAGAATGAGATAGAGGAAAAAGATGGAAATGAGAAAGAAATGTAAAAGGGTCGTAATCTCATACTTCCTCCCCTCAAAGCTGGGTGGTAAAAGTAACAACGTGCTTGACAAAGGTAGTCGCGAAGAGGACGACGAGCGTTACCCATCTCATATTCAGGAACCCAACTATCCTCAGAAGGATCATAACCCTTCCAACGACGGTGTGCAAGCACGGACTCGACCTCGTACTCGGGTTCATCGTGGATGAGGACGGGCGACGGCGGCGGCGGTTGGTGTCCGGTGAAGACCGTGTTTGGATCTCGATATGGCTTCAGAAGTTGGACATGGAAGGCGTTCTGAATCTTTCAGGTAGCTGGCAGGTGTAAGCAGAAGGTAACAAGAGTGACCTGTGCTTCGACGAGAAAGGGCCCGCAGAAGCGAGGTCGTATTTTGGATGGGAGATGACTGATGTCGAGATTGCGGGTGTCGAGTAGAACCTGGTCTCCCACGGTGATGGTGTGGTTAGTGCAGTGGCGATCGGCCTGACGCTTCTGTTGTTGCTGAATGTCGAGGAGGCCCTTGTGGGTCCGATCCCAAAGCTGATGCATGGTCGTGATGAAGTCGTGTGCGGCTTGGACTGTGGCTGATGCTGTCGGTTTTTGTGGCTTTAGCGGGTGGCATCTGTAACAGAGGAAGAACGGCGTCTGTTCAGTAGTGGCATGAGTGGCGTTGTTGTAGGCAAACTCCAGGATGGGCAGATACAAGTCCCATTTAGAGATTTCGTCTTTGCATACTGCGCGGAGGAGTTGCTCTACAATTTGGTTGAGGCGCTCGGTCTGTCCATCTGTCTGCGGATGGTAGGCGGACGACATGGCAAGTTTTGTCCCGAGAAGAGACATCAGTTCCTTCCAGAACTTGCTGGTGAACTTGGGGTCTTGGTTGGAGATGAGTGTGGTTGGAATGCCATGTTGTGGGATGATGTAGTGAACGACTAGTTGTGATGTCTCTTCGGTGCGTGCTGTCGTGTGTGTCGGGATGAATTGTCCCATCTTAGAGAATTTGTTGATGACGACGACGATTGCGTCATGACCGCTTGCGGTAGTTGGTAGCCCGGTATGAAATCCAGGCTAACCACTTGCCATGGTTGTTTTGGGACAGGAAGAGGCTGTAGCAGTCCCACCTTTTTCTGCTTGCTGCTCTTCATCCGCTGACATGTATCGCACGAGGTGACGAATTTCTTGACGTCGTCTACCATGTGGGGCCAATAGTAGTGCTCTGCAATACCGGTGAGCGTCTTGTTGCTACCGAAGTGTCCCGCGTATAGGACATCGTGGTATTCTTCGAATAGTAACTTGCGCAAAGGAGGGTAATTGGGTACCCAGATTTTCATTGATCCCCTCCAATACGCGATGCCACTGTCCCACTGTAGCAGGTGTCGCTTTTCTGCCAAAGGAATTTCGGGGTCAATAACGTACCCATGTGTGAAGAGTCCCTTGAGTAGTGGGTTCATCCCTTCAACCTGGATAGCGGCAACATGTGCAGGCCGACTGAGAGTTTCTGCTTTCTTTTTGTGGACGTGCTTGTACACGATGTCATAGTGGAAGTGCGTCTCGAGGAAGTCAATCCACTTGACCTGCTGCCTAGAGAGGTTTGGTTGTGTCTTCAAATATTTCAGGCTGCAGTGGTCGATGTAGACGGTTGATTTTTGTCCTTCGAGATAACATCTCCACGTTTTGAAGGTGATGATAATAGCAAGGGCCTCCTTGTCATGTATTGGATAGTTTAGTTCTGCCCCGTGTAGTTTCTTGCTGAGGTAGGCAATTGGTTGCACTCCATTCCTCTGGCCTTGCATCAAGACTATTCCCACTGCCTGGTCACTAGCGTCAGCTTCGATGACGTAGTCGCGTTCAGGGTTTGGCAAGATGAGTACGGGTGCGGACGTGAGTGCTTGTTTCAGCTGCTACACGGCTTCCTGATGTTTTGGTCCCCACTTACAGGGCGTGTTCTTCTTCAGTGGATTCGTGAGTGGTGTTGCAATTTTCGCGTACTGTGGCACCAACCTCTTGTAATAGTTAGCGAAGCCTAGGAACTGCTGCAACTCCTTCATGTTCTCGGGTGTCTTCCACGTGCGTACGGCTTCGACCTTCTTGGGGTCGACGTGAACTCCTTGAGCGCTCACCATGTGTCATATTGTTAGGATTAAGGACGGAGTCTAGGTGAACTTAGGAGCTAGAATTACTCAAAATATAAATCCGAAATTCTGGACAGAAAAGTCGTCTTTACAAGAAACGACGTCGACGAAAAACTAGCCGTTGGAATGTCGCGAAACTTGGATATGTTGTAGCTCTTAATCTCAGCTACCGTTCCCAATTTGAATCACGTTGATTGATGAAGTATTCGCGACGCTATGGCTTTCGACGCATTAGGGGGTAAGCTGTAGGAGGAGAACTTAACTCAATCTCAAAGGTTCAATCAAAGTTCAAGAATCTCACAAGGAATTAGAAGGAGCAAGAGAAAGGTTGGGATAGGAAGAGAGGGATGAGAGGGAAGGTCCCAAGAGAGTCCCCAACCAAGGAAAACCCCATAAGCACAAAGATTCCCTCCCTATAGGAACCCCAACTTTGACATTTGTCCCTTCCCAACCAATCCATCCAAGTTGGCCACCCTTGCCAACCTAGCTTGGTTGTTCCCAACCAATTTGCAGCTGTTACAGTGAGTGACAAATTTCCCAAACCCCCAAAGGTCCCAACTCCATATAGAGTCACCCCACAACTTCACTTTGTAACCGCCGCAATTGTAACGCAAGCTCATGAACTTTGAATCTTCATAGCTTTCGCGTTCTTGCTCCGATTGAAGGGATTCTCGTTGCGTCGGAAAGATCTTCTCAAGATCTATCATCACAAAAAACCTGCTCAAACAAAATAACACAAAACACATTCCCAAACTCCAGAACACATCACACACAAATTCTTGCACACGTTCAAACCACACATGCAAGTTGAAAAAAATATGGGATGGGAGGCAGACAGAATGTGATAGCATATGATGACATCACACAACACATATGAATTGGACTTTCTCAAGGGCGAATTCGCTCTTGGATAATTTGACATAGAATCGTTCTCGTCGAAGAATGTCGAAGATGCGTCGCAGGTGTTGGATGTGCTGTTGCATGTCACGCGAGTAGATGAGGATGTCGTCCAGGTACACCACCACGCACTCGTCCAAAAGTGGTCGTAGAATGTGGTTCATTTTGGCTTGGAACGTTGCCGGTGCGTTGGTGAGTCCGAACGGCATTACCAAATACTCGTACGATCAATACCGAGTTCGGAAAGCAGTTTTGTGGATAGAGTTGTCCGCCATCCATACCGATTCGTGGTATCAAAAATTTATTCTTGATAGTCCGCTTGTTGAGAGCTCGGTAATCGATGCACATGCGCAGGCTTCCATCTTATTTCAGTGTAAAGAGTACTGGGCACTGTATGGTGAAGTGGATGGTCGGATGAGTCCTTTTGCGAGGAGATACTCGTTTTTTTTCTTCATGTCGACTAGCTCCATGGGGATGAGCCGATATGGTGCTCGGAAGGTCGGCTTCGAACCTGGTTCTTCCACGATCTCGTGTTGGTGCGTTCGGTATGGCGGCAGCTCGTTCGGAAGGTCGTCGGGAAGAATGTCCTGGAACTCCTTCAGTAATTCCTTGATTTTTTCTGGAGGTTCCGAGGTTTTCTCTCCGCCGTTTTCCACATCTGTCGCTATTGCTAGGAACCCGGTAAAGGTTTGCTTTACGTCCTTCTCGAATCTTGCGAGTGTCTCCACTGGGATATCTCCTGTATCATCCCAGTTGGGTAGCTGGACTCTCCATCCGTTGTTGTAGATGCTTGCGGTACGATTTACCCAGTTGATCTCCGGGTTGAATCTTTTTAGGAAGTCTCGCCCGAAGATCAAGTCAAGCCCTTTTATGTTGGTGATGAGGAGTGCAGGATTCCAGCGCAGTGGACCGATTTGTAGGTGTAACATTGCTTCGCTGTATACTGGTAACTTGCTGTCGTCCACCATCGTTGCAGAGAATGATGAAGGCTTCTACTCTTCCCAAAGTCGGTCGATTACTGCCTTATCGCATATTGTGTGTGATGCTCCGCTGTCCACGAATGCTTGGAGGTGTCGTCCTTTGCATATGACCTCGAGCATGAGGGGCAGGCGTTGCTCGGAGTACCCAAAGATAGTTTCGTTCATGAGATTATAGGGTACATCCCAATATTTCGTACACACCTTTTCCTTGTTATCTACTTTTGGGCTGGCAGCTGGCCGAGGCTACTTGGAGAAAGGCTCTCCCTCATGACTCTAAGCTTTCTTGACGACTGTGTGTGTTGTTGATGCCGATTTTGCTGAGCTGGATGCATTCGAAGGAGGCGTTCGGGGTTTTTGCAGCTTCTTGTAGACCCCCAGCTTCCTCTTAAGCTGCTTTAGCTCCACCGACGTCTTCCTTGGGGAACGAGTAGTCGTTGTGGGCTGGTGTTGAGGGAGGACGTTGACTCCATGGTGAGTTCGGCTTATTTCCACACTCCTTAATTTTGTCCCCAAGCTTTCCGGCACCACTACGATCTCCACAAGTTTCTGCTTCTTCTTAAGTCCTTCCCAAACTTTCTACATGGCTCTAGCCCCTTGAGAGTCATAAGTTTTCATTTAAGCATCCTTATAAGATAACTTTAACGAATCCTTATAATTTCCTGGGTCTTCTCTGAGTTTCCCCGTCTCGACAGAGTCCCTTTTCGCGGAGTCAGATTTTTTTCTCGGCGATTTTCCCTGGCGAAGGCTGGTCGTGGGGTGGAGATTTTTCCCCATCATTTCCTCCTGTCCGCGTCGAATCAGCTTCGTTGAAGTTGATTTTCCCCGAATCACGCGGCCGCTTTCGTATCGTTTCCTTTTCGCCCGCTAGATCCGCAATCACTGGCACATTCCGCTTTTTTGTCTTCTGATTGGCCGAAGAATTTCCGCCACTGTTGCGTGCTCGATACTCTGTTCATGTTGCTTTCATTTTGTTGCAGTCAAAGATTCGATGGCCCGGCACCCCGCAAAAATCACACGTGTAGTTGGTGTTTTTTGGACCTGACCGCCCGTCGAACCTGTCGATTTCCATCGGGTCGGCGAACGTGGGGTGAGCCGAGCGGTCGCCCTGTTGCGTACTGCCGGCGTGCGCCCGTCGTGTTCCGGCGTTGACCATGTCAAACCGCTCTGCTGCCAATACGATGTCACTGTAGCTCGCGTAATTTGTCGCTGCTACCTATCGTTTGACTTCGGTCTTCAGCACGGCGAGATACGACTGTACTTTTTCCCCTTCGGTCAGGTCAGGAATGCGGTTATAAAATTCCTCCATGTGTTGTATGTACTGTGCTACACTCCCGAACTGTCGATGGCGATGAATCTTATCCCGGGCAAGGAACCCCGAATTTATCGGCTTGAAGCGTTTCAGCAGGTCGGTGCGGAAATGCTGCCACGTGGCTTCGCCGTGGATGAAGGTACTATTACCGCCGATCCACTCGAGTGCTGGCCCTCGCATCAGTGTTGCCGCGAGTCGTACGCATTGACCGTCCCCGACTGGCGAGCTCCATCCGATGGCTGCAAAGTAGATCTCCATGCCGGCGATCCATGTGCAGACGTTGGAATTTCGATTGCTCGGATCGAACGGCTTAGGTGGGCGCGGTTTCGGAGCCTCGAGAAACTGCTGCGACTGCTGCATCGTTGCTGTCGTCGTTTCATGCTGTGCGTTGGCGAGTCGGGTTACTCGCTCGAACTCGTTTCGCCAAGCTTCGTGATCGACTCGCATCTCCTCTTGAAGGGCGAAGATGCTCGCGAAGAGCTGCTGGGTATCCTCGGCGTTGTCGAAGTTCGCTATCCTGTTCAAAACATGCACGGAGGGGTTAATTCTGGTGCTTACCAGAATCGGCGCCGAATTAGTCGCCCCTGACGGTTTTGCGAGGCAGGTTTTCTCGCTGCTTCTGCTTAACTGAGTGCGGCTGAGTGAGAAACACTCTGATTACCAAGTGTTACGGGATCGAATGTGTCGAGAAAAAGTTGCACTATCGATTGATACAAGGCGCTTTTATACTTCCGAGGTACATCAGGTAACCAGGTTTATCCTATCCAAAGAGAATAGACCCTTCTAGAAATAGAATCACCCTACGTATACCCACGCAAGGCTATTGGCTTTTCAAGGATTACAGTATGATTTTGCTAGAATCACCCTGCGTATAGCCCTGCGTACGCTAGTACATCCCGAGCCTAGTCGGTGATATAATTATAATATTAGGATAACCCAAAGGATGATGGGAAAGGAGGAATAGGAATCCAAATGGGATGTGATACAGATCAAAGGAATCGGGATAAAAAGAAGAATGAGATAGAGGAAAAGGATGGAAATGAGAAACTAGTGTAACGGGGTCGTACTCTTACACCCCTGCTCCCCTCCCTCGCATTTTTACTCCGTCTGGTGTGTCTCACGTCACTCCCCTCCCGTCGGTTGTCCCGGTCGAGGATTCGGCTGACTCTGGTGGCCCTGCGGTGCAGTTCTCGCCTCCTGTTTCTCCTCCGGTGTCTCCTCCGCCATCGCAGCAGCGCCGCCATCGCCGCCGCAGTAGCAGCTGCAACCGTCGTCGCAGCCGCAGCAGCAGCAGCAGCTATCCATGGGCTCTGTGGGTGTGGGCGTTGAGGAGGGTGCTAGTCCTAGGGTTCCTGTCGTGGCTCGTCTTGGCGGTCTTGGGGGTGGCACCGGTGCTGGAGAGGGTTTTTGTTGAAGTGGTGCTGGTTCTGGGGGTGCTAGTCCTGGGGTTACTGTCGTGGCTTGCCCCGGTGGTCTCGGGGGTGGCACCGATGCTGGAGAGGGTTCTCGTTCTGGGGGTGCTCGTTACGGGGGTTCTGGAGTGGAGCGTTCCGGAGGTAGCCGTGGTGCAGCTGGAGGTTCTGGTATTGGTGTGGAGCAGCAGCAGTAGTAGTCGCTGCCGGTGTCCGCCCTTCGCCTGCTCGGCCTTCCCTCCCCTGACCACCCGCCTGCGCCTCCCCCGCCGCTACCTCCCCTGCCTGTCTACGGCCCTGTGTTTCCTCCGCCGGACTCGTCTCCGACTCGTTTCCCCCCTTGTTCTCCTCTTGTGACTCCTCTTGTGTCTCCTAACCCGACGCCTCCGTCCCAATTCTGGTCCCGTCGTCCCTCTCGTGCTCGTCCTGTCTCTTCTGTCCAGCGCTCTCACTTGATGTTTCTTCATTCCCCTGCATCTCGTCCTTCCCTCCTCCCCTCGCCTCCTCCGTCGCCACTTGTTGTCGCTCCGCCTCCTCTGTCTGACTACCTCCGTGCCGCTAGTCCTCATGTTCCTCGGGTCCTTGCCTTACTCATTACCGACCCGTCTGTTCCTGTCTCGAGTCTTGATGCTCTTCGCGCTGCTTTCGCTGACTTTGCCTCTACCCGCCGCCTTGACTACACCACCGCTCTGGTCTCTAACCCTGTCCATCCTCCGTCCGTCGGGGGTGCTCCTGCCCTTGGCAATGACGTCCAGGAGGATCGGCAGGATGAGCTAGCTTTCATGTCCGAGGTCGCGCCTCATCTCTGCTCCATGCTGTTAGTCCTTGAGGGGGACCCAGATGCCTTCGACATCCTGACCCCTCGCACCTACGTGGAGGCGACCTCGGGACCCTAGGCCTCCTAGTGGATAGCTGCCATGGACGCGGAGATGGCATCTTGGAGATCCACTAGCACCTACGTCGACGTAGTTCCCCCACCTGGACGTACTCAATGGACGGTGGCTCTTCGAGGTAAAGCGCCCTCCTGGAGAGCCGCCTGTGTTTAAGGCACGCTGCGTAGCTAGAGGCTTCAGTCAGCGCGAGGGTGTGGACTACTTCCAGTCCTTTGCCACGACCGCGAAGATGACTACTCTTTTGGCACTGTTACATATAGCAGCACATCGTGACTATGAGCTGCACTCTCCCGATTTCGCGACAGCTATTCTTCAGGGCAGTTTGCACGAGCAGGTCTACCTGCGCCGTCCATCAAGCTTTATCGACACCTTTGCCCAGGGGACCTAGTGGCTCCTCTGGCGCCCGGTTTACGGCTTGCGGTAGGCGCCACGAGAGTGGCACGACACGTTGCGTGCTACGTTAGCTGACGCAGTTCTTCCCATTGTTTGCAGACCCCTCACATCTCGTTCGTGCTGGTCAGAACCCGTTCTATATCCTAGTCTACATAGATGACCTGGTCTTTGCTACTGCAGAGAGAGATGCACTGGCCTCCGTGAAGGCAAAATTGCTGAGGAGACACACCTG